ATAATTCCTTTAGCCCTTTCTCAGGGAAATCCAGATTTGTTTTTCAAAGAGAAGCTTGAGCTGCACTCCATATGCCAACAGCAGCCTCATCCCTGCCATGCACAGATGTTAAATGGATTGTCATTATACAGACGTGGCCTAAACACTAAGATCTATGGGACTCTGTAGTGACTTCCATGCTAGCTGAACTGCACTCTAATGCATAGCCTTAGGGCTAATTCACACAACCGGTGTGTCAAAACCAACACCAACAGTTTCCACTCATGACAAGACGCTACAGGCCAAAATAAACCCCAGCAGCAGCCACAAGAATCATGCTGAAAGGAAGGCTTAGAATATGAATGGGCAACTCATGGTCCTTGCTGATTTATGTGCTGCGGCCGACTGGCTTTTCTTAGCATCCAAGCGTCCCGACATTTATTTTCCGACAGTACAAGGGAGAGATGACAGCACGAGGCTTAAATTAGCCACCCGTGAGAGCAATTAGCAGGTTCCTGTGAGGTTGACAAAAGCACCTGCAGAGGTCTGGAACTTTTTTTTTTTTTACGAAGATTAATGGAAGCACAAACTCACTGCAAACAACAACGACCGTGTAACAAGGTCCCTATAACTCCCACTGACTGCCTTCCAAACAGGAGCCACCATGCTCGTGCTGGCATCATGGGCTGGCATCATCAGGCAGCTGCAAAAGTCCATGCCTCAGCAGGGGACCCACAGCCAGCTCCACAGCCTGCTGTTGAGGGAACATGATGGGGAGCAGGAACAGAAACACGGAGTAGGCAACCTTTTAAGGATGGACATCCATGCTAGAGCCAGCACTGGCTTCACGGCTGCAGAGGGGAGAGGAGAGTTGCTATTCAACAGCTAGATTGTCCCTGGGAGCACAGCTGCCTTGCGCCACTATTTATCCAGGTAGCCCAGTCCGGTATTGACTACTCTCCAGGGTATCCAGCAGTGGTCTTTCCTGCTGGCAGCTATCCCTGGAGATGCCAAGGATTGAACATGGGACCTTCTGCACACAAAAACATGTGCTCAGCATCTACCATGGTGCCATGGTTCTTCCATGAGCTGACAAGGTGCTGGGACCAATCTCAGAGTTGCCAAACTTGCACGTGGATCCAAGAGCTGGAGTATGCGCTCTCCAGTAAGGCATCCGTGAAGGTTTATTGTGGAGGAGGTAGAAAGACCCTCAAGGGCAGAAGGTACCATTCTGCTGCTCAGGCAAGAGAAAACTCTTTGTGCCTAGATCACACCCACTCAGTCCATTATACTGCCTGGCAATTGGGCAGTCTCCTCCTCCTCCTCCTCCTCCTCCTCCTCCTCCTCCTTTCTTGCCCATCTGCCTTGGTTGCCCCAACTACTCTAGGTGGCTTCCAACACATATAAAACCATAATAACATGTCAAGCATTAAAAACCTCCTGATACAGGGCTGCCTTCAGGTCTTCTAAAAGATGTGTAGTTCTTTACCTCCTTGACATCTGATGGGAGGGCATTTCACAGGGAGGGTGCCACTGCCGAGAAGACCCTCTACCTGGTTCTCTGTAAGTGAGGGAACAGTCAGAAGGCCCTCAGAGGTGAACCTCAGTGTCCAGGCTGAATGGGGTGGAGATGCTCCTTCAGGTACATTGGGCAGAGGCCATTTAGGGCTTTAAAGGTCAGCACCAACACTTTGAATTGTGCTTGGAAACATATTGGGAGTCAGTGTAGATCCTTTAGGACTGTGTTATATGGTCCCAGCAGCCACTCGGTAAGCTTGGCCCCCCACTGGAAGGGTATTGGACAGTGACTATTAGCCATGATGATGGCTAAGTGGAAATCTTCAGGCTAAAGGGAAACCTCCAAGTTCAGAAGCAATATGTCACTGAATACCTGTTATGGGTATGTATGCAAAAAAGAAAACATGGAAAAGGCAATTGCTCTGAAGTCCTTCTGTGAGTTTCCTGGAGACTTCTGTTTGGCCACCATGGGACAGAAGGCAATGTGGACCTTTGGTTTGATCCAGAAGGTTCTCTTTATGATAAGTTTACATAAGGCAGGAGTCCATACACAGGATCTCTTAACAGTTATGGCATAATGAATCTGATCCTGAGCATGTACTCATGCTTAACAATATAAGGAGTGTCTTGCTGGATTACACCAATATCTGCTTCAGGGATGGGGGAACCTGTGATGCTGGACCACAATTCTCAACATCCCTGACCATTCTGGCTATACTGGCTAGAAGTGATGTGGGTTGTGGTCCAACAACAGCCACAGAGAAGCCCTTTGGCTGTCCCTGTCCTTGGTGGCGCACTAGAAGAAGAAGAAGAAGAAGAAGAAGAAGAAGAAGAAGAAGAAGAAGAAGAGTTTGGATTTGATATCCCGCCTTTCACTCCCCTTCAGGAGTCTCAAAGCGGCTAACATTCTCCTTTTCCCTTCCTCCCCCACAACAAACACTCTGTGAGGTAAGTGGGGCTGAGAGACTTCAAAGAAGTGTGACTGGCCCAAGGTCACCCAGCAGCTGCATGTGGAGGAGCAGAGACGTGAACCCGGTTCCCCAGATTACGAGACTACCGCTCTTAACCACTACACCACACTGGCTCTCACAAGAAATTGCTCTCTCACAAGAAACTTTCTCTCACTAGAAATTGCTCAGTGGTCCATTGCTGGACCAGCATTTGTCTTCCATCCACTTCTGGGCTAGAAGGCCTTTATTTGCTTCCGTCTATCATCCAATGGCCACTGAATGCAACAGATGTAAATCAGTAAAGCATTATCTTTTAATACCTTCTGCTGTAGATATGCATCTGTACATTTAGACCCAGCTCTTCCCTGGGCATTCGGGTTTGTTTCTTAGGATCGTGACAGGTGCCAATCACATGCCAGCTAAGTTTACAGCACGGCTGGAAGTGGTCACCTACTCACTTGAAAGCTTAACAAATATTGATCAGCAGAAGGCTACAAAGGCATATCAGAAGGTAAAGTCTTGATATATTTGTGCAACACACACCCTCCCATATATGAGAAGCTAATGCAATAAATAGCATCTCTCCCTGAGCCTTCAAAATATTAAACCACCTTCTGGGAAAGGGAAGGTTCTGGGCTTTCCATCAAAGAGCCATTTTTTAACCCCGATCTGAGAATCTCTAACATGCAGGTATGTGAAATCCAATATCCATTCTTGCCTCTGGCTACTGGAAGGAAACAAGACCCCTCCAAACATCATTCAGACATCTGGCTGCTGCAAAAGGCAAAGGAGAGAGTCCCTCTCATTGTTGCATCTATTTGTCTCTCTCCACCATCTGGTTGACAAGGCTGTGTGTACTCTGCATGCAAAATTTAAAAAATAATCTGTGCCAAGAAAGCTATGGTAACAAGGAGACAAATTCTGCAGCTGGAGCCGGCCCTGTCATTCAACAGGGGGAGACAGTCTGCTAGGACAGTAAGCTGTCAGTTAGGGCTGCAAAATTTAAGCTGCAGTGATATACACACTTACCTAAAAATAAGCCCCATGGAACTTAATGAGGCTTTCTTTCGAGTAGACAAGCACAGGACTGCACCGATTAAATGGCAAGAGCATTTCATTTAATTGGGTTAATTAAATTAAACCAGAGTTTCCCATTAATTGGACACCAAATTTTTAAATTATATAATACTAATACAAGGTTCTTGTTATATAAAAAAAGCAGAAGGCAAGTGACATCTTAAAGTAATGTGTCCCAAGGCATGTTCTGACACCATATGACAGTCTAAATGACAATATTGCTAAAGCTAAGCAGGTCAGTGACTGTATAGGAGTCTGCCTCGAAATCTCATGTTCACTATCTTCAGTTCTACAGAAGAGAGGTGGGATAAGTTTGCTAACTTAAGGGAGGGACTATAGCTCTGCATGCATAATGTCTTGGGTTCAATCCTTAGCACCGCCAAAGATCCAATAGCAGGTAAAGGGTAAGACAGGGCCAGTCCTACCACTGGGCAGGAGGGGGCAACCATTTCAGGAGGAAGATGCTCCCAGATCTACCTCTGTCACTAGAGGCCCAAGTAATCTCAGTGGCTTCAGCTGGTAACACAGCTATGGCCACTTCAGGATTGGGACACCCAGCCCACTGGTAACTTCAAGGCTAGGCTATGGCAAGGTACTCTGTGTGCAAGGCCCAGAAATTGCAGCAAGTGCAAAATGCAGTGACTCAACTGCTCACTGGGGCAGACCACTGCTGTCCTCTTATGCCTGTGCTGAAAAACTGCTGCCACCTGCCAATTAGTTGACAGTCTAAATTCAAGGTGCTTGTTGTACTGATAGGCAAAGACTTATACAGCTCGGGACCAGGATACGTAAAATACAGACTCCGCCCAGTTCATTAGTGCACTCTGCAGATGCCCTCTTATTGGGAAGTCCATTCTGTATGATGTAGGAATCATACTTTCAGAGTGTGGCGCTCACCCTTTGGACCCCCCTCCCATTACATATCCAACAGGTGCCCTCTTTGCAGTATTCTGGGTGCCTATTGAAGACTTTCCTCTTCCAACAAGCCTTTTAAATGGAGATTTTCAATCCTCTAAATACATTGGCATAGAAATTGTATTTACATGTGTTTTAATGTTAAATTGCTTTGGGATGATTCCCGGGGATCGATTCAAAAGTGAAATACAGTGGTACCTTGGGTTACAGACGCTTCAAGTTACAGATGCTTCAGGTTACAGATGCTTCAGGTTACAGACTCCAGTAACCCAGAAATAGTACCTCGGGTTAAGAACTTTGCTTCAGGATGAGAACAGAAATCGCGCGGCGGCAGCAGGAGGCCCCATTAGCTAAAGTGGTACCTTAGTTTTAGGTTAAGAATGGACCTCCAGATCGAATTAAGTTCTTAACCCGAGATGCCACTGTATGTAAAATAATGAATGAAATATTAAGGGGCAGTGGTGACAGTCCCCCAGCTGCCCCTCATGAGCCCCCTTCTGCTGGAAGATAGAGCTGCAAGCCATTTCATCCTCTATCCCCCTAACTGTTGTGCTTGCCTCTGTCCGAACAGCTCCATCGGTAGAGCTTGAGACTCTTTATCTCAGGGTTGTGGGTTTGAGTCTCATGTTGGGCAAAATAATTATGCGCTGCAGGGGCTTGGAATATATGACACTCATGGTCCCTTCCAATTCTACAATTCTATGGTTCTAAAAGAGAACATAATCCCACTGCTAGTATTGAAGGAAGATTCAACTTCTGTATGCAGAATTGGGGAAGGGGGGATATGTCATCACGTCCTTTGCCTCGGGCAGCAAAATATATTGTTGCAGCCATAAGAACATAAGAGCAACCTCTTGGATCAGGCCAGTAGCCCCTCTGATCCAGCATCTCACAGTGGTCAACTAGATGCCTATGGGAAGTCCCAGCCAGACTCAAAGAGACCCAAGTGCAGCAGCACTCTCTCCCTGTGGTTTCCAGCAACAATTACTGTATTTTTCGCTCTATAGGACACACTTTTTCCCCTCCAAAAATGAAGGGGAAATGTGTGTGCGTCCCAAGGAGCGAATGCAGGCTCCTTGACTTCAGCGATAGCAACGGGAAGCCTCCAAAGCGCAGAGGGAGCGCTCCCTCCACGCTCCAGAGGCTTCGCGTTGCTTTCGCTGAAGCCTGGAGAGCGAGAGGGGTCGGTGCGCACTGACCCCTCTCGCTCTCCAGGCTTCAGGCAGCTATCCGCAAGCCTTCGGAGCGCAGCAGGAGCTCCCCCCACACTCCGAAGGCTTGCGGATAGCAGCCTGCAGCCTGATGGCCATCCATGTTTGTGGCCATCACTGCCTCTTGTGGGAACGCATTGCATAGTTGAATTATGCACTGCATGAAGCAGTACATTCTTTGGCCTGTCTTCAATCTTCCAACGTTCAGCCTGTGCTAAGGAAAGGCCATCCACCGGCTGAGACCCGGAAAAGACCTCTTCCCACCCAGGGCTGATCTAGATAGGCTGACCTGGTAGATCCTGGAATCGCAGGAAAGAAGGCCTCTTCTAAGGGGAAGATGTCTGGTACAACCCAAGCATTGCCTAAAAAAAGATAAATGCTTCGGAGCATCTGTTTATACGCAACCACAAATTTAAATAAATGAATTAAGAAAGAAACAAAGATCTTTGCCAATTAATTGATGAATCAGGTGACAGCTCCATTACTATTTATATTGTGCAGGGGGAGTATGCAACATTTCATTTTCTGCCCCAGGCACAGAAATTTCCTCGGCCATCATTGTCTGCAATTTGTATAAATTATGGAAATTAAGCCCATTTGCACCTTATGTATAATTTATTCTGCTTAGCCTAATTGTGGGGAGGGAACAATGTGATTGCATGTCGGTGAGGCCCCACCCACTGGAAATCTAATTTGGACACACACACCCCTGTGCTTTCTGACATTTCACCAAGTCCTTCTTATGCACTTTTGTGCTTTACAAGCCATAGCAGGTAGAGACACTGAGGTCGCATCCACACCATACATTTTAAACCAGGGGTCAGCAAACTTTTTCAGCAGGGGGCCAGTCCACTGTCCCTCAGACCTTGTTGGGGGGCCAGACTATATTTTTTTTGGGGGGGGGGGGGAAATGAACAAATTCCTATGCCCCACAAATAACCCAGAGATGCATTTTAAATACAGTGGTACCTCGGGTTAAGTACTTAATTAGTTCCGGAGGTCCGTTCTTAACCTGAAACTGTTCTTAACCTGAAGCACCACTTTAGCTAATGGGGCCTCCTGCTGCTGCCACACCGCCGGAGCACGATTTCTGTTCTCATCCTGAAGCAAAGTTCTTAACCTGAAGCACTATTTCTGGGTTAGCGGAGTCTGTAACCTGAAGCGTATGTAACCCAAGGTACCACTGTAAAAGGATACATTCTACTCATGTAAAAACATGCTGATTCCTGAACCGTCTGTGGGCCGGATTTAGAAGGCGATTGAGTCAGATCCAGCCCCCGGGCCTTAGTTTGTCTGCCCATGCTTTAAACCACTGGAAATTGTAGTTTGCTACAGGCACTGGGAATTTTAGCTCTGTGAGGAGCCGCCTAACAGCTCTCAGCATCCTTAACAAACTGCAGTTCCCAGGAGTCTTTGGTGGAAGCCAAGACAATCAAAGTGGTATTGTTGTTGGCATCCATCCGCCTCAAGAGACAATGGAGTATTCCTCTAGTGGTGAAGTAAAACTGCTGCGTTAGCAGCACTGAAGTGACCTGCTCGGGGCACAAGCCTGGACAGCGTTTATGGAGCTCCTCGGCTGCCCAGACAAAAAGACCCCCTTCTCAGCCTCGCTGATGTGGTCCAAAAGAAAGCCGAGCAATACATTTGACACCAGCTTGGCTGCAGGAGTTGCCAGAAGGAGGTGTACCAGGTGCCATCCAACTGTCTTAGGGACTCCACGGAGATTTGTGTAGGGTTTACTCCTTAGCCTTTTCTTCTCCTGATGACATCTTGCAAGGCAGTGGATGTGTAGGACCAGAGCTTTGCTTTTCCTAGATGGACCACTTTCCCAGGTTGATGAGCCCTATCTGCCTCTCACTTTCCTCTGCAGCACATGCAGAAACCACCTTCTGGACCGTTGGACCAACTTGACCACTCAATTCACCACAGCCTGTCTTCACATGCAAAGGAAGTCTCTAACTCACATGCAAAGGAAGTCTCTAACTCACTGAGGGTTTGAGACCCATCGGCTAACCTCACCTGGTTTAGCCTGCCAGTCGAAGCCATTCTCCAGGATGTGGCCACTGTCGTATGCTGACAGCTTCTAGGAGCCACAGGTGAGAGCTGAGTGCAGGGTAGGAACCAAAGACAGGCAAACTGCCCCAGAAGGAGCATTATGTGTCTTCCTCAAAGGTACTACCCCCTCCCCTAATACCCTATACACCCCTAAAATAGTATAATAGTGCTTTAAATGTGTGGTGTGGGTGTGATCTGCCTTTTTAAAATACAGTGGTACCTTGGTTCTCAAACACCTTGGTACTCAAGCAATTTGGAACCCAAACACTCCAAACCCGGAAGTACTGTATTTTTCACCCTATAGGACGCACCTAGTTTTTTGGGGGGGAAATAAAGGGGGGGAATTTATTTTTTCCCCCCAGGCAGGATGCCCGAGCTTCCCCCGACCCCAGCCCCCAGAACAGGCTGCTATCCGCAAGCCTAGGGAGCCCAGCAGGGAGTCCCACTAGTCTCCCCAGGCTTGCGGATATCTGTCCCCAGAGCTTGTGGGGCTGGCAGCCTCCAAACCAGGTTGGAGAACAGCGGGATGGCGGTGCTGCGCCTCCCCGCTGTCCCCCGAGCTTGTGGGCTGCAGGCTGCTGCCCGCAAGCCTTGCGAGCCCGCGGGAACTCCCGCTGGGCTTGCAAGGCTTGCAGATAGCTTCCTGAAGCCTGGAGAGCGAGAGGGGTCAGTGCGCACCGACCCCTCTCGCTCTCCAGGCTTCAGCGAAAGCCTGCATTCGCCCCATAGGACGCACACACATTTCCCCTTCATTTTTGGAGGGGGAAAAGTGCGTCCTATAGGGCCAAAAATACGGTAAGTGTTCCAGTTTGCAAACTTTTTTCAGAAGTCAAATGTGCTCTGTTTTAAGTGCTACACTTCCATTTTATTACACTGATGATTTGAGAGTTACGCTTACGATTTGAGTGCCACACTTCCATTTTGAACGTTACTCTGAGTTCTGTCTGTTTTTATTATTTATTTTGCATTTTTTGGTTTTGCGGCTCTTTTTTGTTTCTGTGACTGTGTGGAACCCAGTTTAGTTACTGATTGATTGATTGATTGATTGATTATATGACTGTAGTACATTGTTTATCGCTTTCATTTTATGGATCAACGGTCTCTTTAGATAGTAAAATTCATGTTAAACTGCTGTTTTAGGGGTTGTTTTTTACAAGTCTGAACAGATTAATCCATTTTGCATTACTTTCTATGGGAAAGTGCGCCTTGGTTTTGGAACACTTTGGTTTGGGAATGGATTTCTGGAACGGATTAAGTTTGAGAACCAAGGTACCACTGTAAAGGGAAAAGTAAGGCAAATCTAGATTGCAATTCTGAATTCTGTGCCCATTACCACATTTTCTGCACTGGTGCAGAATCCATGCCTCGCTTCCTGTCAGTATCATGAGAACAATCTGCTGGATCATACTAAAAGCCTGCTCAGTCTATAATCCGGTTTCACAGAGTGGCCAACCAGATGCCTCTTGGAAAGCCCACAAGCTGGACGTGAGGGCAGTAGCCTCTTCATCCTACGGGTGTTTCCGAGTGATTAATATTCAGAGGCAGCGGGCTGTCTCCAGCTAAGTTCTACACAGACCCATAAGAATGTAAGAAGAGCCTGTAGTTTCTGGTCTGCATAAGTATTGCTGCCTCTGATTGTGGAGGCAGGGCAGAACCATCATGACTAGTAGCCATTGACAGCCTCTCCTCCATGTGGCCATCGCTGCCCCTCCTGTGGAAGAGAGTTCCACTGTTTAACTATGTGCTGCGTAAATGAGTACTTTCTTTGATCTGTCCTTAATCTCCCAACCTTCAACTTTGTTGGTGTGCACGAGTTCAGGTATTGTGAGAGAGGGAGAGGGAGAAATTCCATCTCCATTGGAAGGGGGACCCACTGGAATTAATGAATCTAAGCTAGTCCTCCAATCCATGAACTTCAGCGGCTCTACTCTGAATTAGACTAGCATCGGATACAACCCAAACCAGCAGCCGCCGCTGCATATTGTGGTAGAAAATCCCACCATTTAGTGCTGTGCTGTGTGAGGCAGTTCATCAGAAGCTGCCTCATTCCACCATCTAAGCACCTGAAGATGCCAGGAATTGAACCTGGGATGTTCTGCATGTTTCCCTGGATGACCCCTAGTTCTAGTATTGTGTAATGGAGTAGGAAAACAGGTCTATATCCACTTTTCCCATATGATGTACAGTGGACGCTCGGGTTGCGAACGTGATCCATGCAGGAAGCACGTTCGCAACCCACAGCGTCCGCAACCCACAGCGCTGCGTCTGCGCACGCACAGGTCACGATTCGGCGCTTCTGCACATGTGCCAAAATCCGGAAGTAACCCGTTCCAGTACTTCCGGGTTCGGCGCAGTGCGCAACCTGAAA